TTGGTCTTGTATTTCTTAGGGTAGCTTGTTTTGTTTTATAGTTCAAACTTCAAGGATTTGAACCATTTACTTTCCTCACTCAAATTGATACGTCTACTACTAAGGCTTACCTCAAGAGACAAGGAAAAAAAACAAGAGAAAAGCCACCAGACATTTATTTAGAAGAAGGGAAAAGTTTATATAGAGCTGACACTCTAAACAATCAAATTCAAGCCCACCTCAAAAATTTTGCTTAAAGAAGTTGTTTTAATGCTTAAATATCCTCAAATTGATCTTCTCAACATCAAGATGCATGGACATGAGAAACAAATGGTTTTCAAGTTTTGTAATTCATGTATTTTGTAACGCATTTTGGGACCGTCAATTTTCAAGATTTTGAATTTTTCATAGATTTCTCAATTTACGTAATTTTTTAAGCTTTAAACTTTATAAATAAAGATGAAAATATATTTTAAGGCTATCAAAAAGATTTTCAGTATTGAAAATACATTTTTGGACACTATTTAAAGGTAGGCTCTAATTTGATTGTTTAGATCCTAAGCTCCCTACAAACTACACCCTTAAAAGAAAATACATACAATCTAAGAAAAGATTTTGATAGCAATATGCACATGACTAGTTAAAGAGCGATATAAAATTCAAAGAAAAATTTCTCGAATTTCATTATACACCTCAAGCTATCCAATTTAAAATATGATGGCTAAGGGTATTTGTGACCTCTTTATAACAAAAGTAAATGGTCTCATAATGTATAATAGGATATCAGTTACGTCACAATCAGACTTAGCCGTTAGATGTCAAATTGAATGGATTGGATTGTATCTTCTAGTTCGATTTTTTTTTTAATAGTCTCTTTATGTGTATAGGGCATTGATTTCATGCATTACTTGTATAGTAATATAATGCAACAATCTTCAAAAACCATGTTATATATATATGAGTTCGGTTTGTATAGAACGTAGGCTCTAAACAATCAAACTAGACCCTACATTCAAATAGCATCGAGAAATGTGGTTTCAATACTGAAAATGATTGTGATAGCCTCAAAATATATTTTCATCTTTATTTATAAAGTTAAAGCTTCAAAAATAGTGTAGACCTATAGATCTATGAAAACTTTAAAATTGACGGTTCAAAATGCATTACAAAATACACTATTTTTAAACCTTGAAATTCATTTTTTTCTCATGTCCATGCATCTTAATATCGAGATGATGAGTTTGAGGATATTTGGGCATCAAAACA